TGTAAATTCATTATGTTCAAGCCTACCCCGCAATGTAATGGTATTTGGAAGTGGGGTCTTTAGGAGATGATGAGGTCATGAGAGGCGACCCCCGAGTCCTCCCTCACGCCTTCTGTCATGTGGGAACGCAGCAAAGAGGTGAAGTCCATAAACCAGAAAGCAGATTCTCACCAAACAATGAATCTTGGACTTCTCAGCCTCCAGAGCTGTGATAAATAAATGTTTGTCTTTTCAACCATCCGATCCATAGTAATTTGCTCTTTGGCAGCCCAAACTGATTAAGACATTGGGGTATGTGAGTAGCCAATGTCTTGCTGGCCCTTTGGTGGTCTTTTCCAGATGTTTTTTTTTGTTTTTATTTTTAATATTTTTTATTGATTTTTCACAGAGAGGAAGAGAGAGGGATAGAGAGTCAGAAACACCGATGAGAATCATTGATCAGCTGCCTCTTGCACACCCCCTACTGGGGATGTGCCCATAATCAAGGTACATGCCCTCAACCGGAATCGAACCCGGGACCTTTCAGTCCGCAGGCTGACGCTCTATCCACTGAGCCAAACCGGTCCCGGCCTTTTCCAGATGTTTAATTCAGGCTTTGCTGCTATTCGTGCTGAAGTGCAAGGGAGGCTCTGGTATAAGGATAAAGCATGTTGTCCTAAGGCCACTTTGTATATCTGCAGCCATAACCCCAGCGCCTTTCCAATATAAATCCTTTGGCACAGATTGGCTTTATATACTTCAAACAAACGTGTTGGAAAATTGTAGCCCTGTATGTATAGTGCTATAGAAACCAAAAGCCAAGCCATCATTTTTGCTGAGCACATAGTTTCAGAGGACTATCCACGCGTGAACCTGCAAGCTGGAGTTTCCACAGTCACATCAGTACTGCAGTGGTGGCTGGAGCCCTCCCCATGCGTTGTGTTTGCATTAACAATTTCTAAGTCACAATGAATGATTTGCCATCGGATCCAGATCAAAGCCCTGAGGTCTATTAGAAGGGTGACCTATGGCCCGAGGGCTCACTGGCAGGGAGAGACCATCATTCTCTGCGTGTCCACGGGGCTCCAAGGAAGGGTGGGAAGAGACAAACCCTGTGGCTTCAACGCACCACAGCTCCTCCCGCCAACGGAAACATGCAAGGAATGGCTCCCTTAATCCCGCTCTGTTTATGAAGATATTTTAAAGGCTGTGGTCTACATTCGCAGACACTCTGAGAACGTAAACAGTCCTGTGACATCACTCGGCTGAAGGCTCATTTAACATAGAGAAAGGCGTAGAAAGTCTACCGTGGAAATGAAGGGTGTCATGTAGTTTTTACGAGAGGATTTGCTGAAGGAGAAGAGATGCCTGAAAACATATTTTCGGTGACAGCTCCAAAACACTTAGGTTCCTTCCCTAATCCTTTTAGGCACGTCCTGGATCAGCTGCATGTTCCGTGCCGAGGGGAAGCAAAAATGTGTCAGCAAGTGATCCTTGCCTTCAGAACTGAGCTTCTCAAACTGCGACGTGCAGGCGGATGCAGAGGCTAGTTGAGCAGATGTGGGTGGGGCCGAGCTTCCTGGGGATGCTGTTGAAGATCCTCAAATATAATACTTACCAGGCCAACAGGGTAAAAGAAGCCTTTGATGGGCATATCTCTGACAAGCATCACATTGTTTCAAAATTAGTGATACCTGGGCTGCTCCCTGCCTAGTGACACCGATGAACTACTGCTTTCAGTTGCTGACCACCACAGCTTTGCTGGCCAGATGCCTGCAGGAAAAACCTCAACAGGGGAAAAGCTGGGCAGAAGGGCATGCCCCTAGGAAGTCGGAAGGCCATCCTTGGTAGCCAGAGCAGCTGGAAAAATGATTTCAGGCCACAGTGCAAGACTGGACAAGAGATTTGTCAACCAGTGTCTGCGCCCTATCAGGGGACATCATCTTCTTTCTCACAGTGAGGCCTTGGTGATTGCGTTTTTGTAAATCACAAGGAAACATGGAAGCCTAGCACTTGCCTTGAGGCCTGTCTTGGGGCAATCCGTAAACATAATAGGCTTCTGATGGTTTGTGGAAACTTGCTCGGAGAGAAAGCTCAAGGCAGAGCCTAAAGCTGACGCTTAAAGGAGGTTAGTGGGACCTTGAGGGAAGACAGAGGAGCTCAGAGTTGAGCCGATTAAGTTCGCACAGAATGGCACTGTCTTCCTCAGGACAGCAACGCCCTGCCTGCTACCCCTGCAGGGGGAGCTTGGGTCCTAAATAAGAATGGGGAGTAGGAATATGTATTAACTAGGATGACGCTCTTCTTTAGGGTAACTTATCATCAGAATTTCAGGTAATGAAAGGATCAAAGTTTAAGATTAGAGCCCTGACCAGTTTGACTCAGTGGATAGAGCATCAGCTGTGGACTGAAGAGTCCCAGGTTCAATTCCGGTCAAGGGCATGTACCTTGGTTATGGGCACATCTCCAGTAGGGGGTGTGCAGGAGGCAGCTGAACAATGTTTCTAGCTCTCTATCCCTCTCCCTTCCTCTATGTAAAAAATCAATATATATATATATTCTTTTAAAGTTTAAGGTTAGAGTTGACTGAACACATACCTATCCTGGAATAGGACATGTAGTCTTAAAAAAAAAAAAAAAAAAATATATATATATATATATATATATATATATATATATATATATATTCTCTGTAAAAAATCAATAATATATATATTATTGATTTTTTACAGAGAGGAAGGGAGAGGGACAGATACTTAGAAACAATGATGAGAGAGAAGCATTGATCAGCTGCCTCTTGCACACCCCCTTTTGGAGATGTGCCTGCAACCAACTTGACTGTAATCGATCCTGGGACCCTTCAGTCCCCAGGCTGACGCTCTATCCACTGAGCCAAACCAGCTAGGGCTGGGATCTATAGTCTTGATAAACAAGTGTCTGCTTGATGAAGTTGTCTAGGATGAAGACTTTTTTTAAATCCTCAATCAAGAATGTTTTTTTCCCCCAATTGATCTTGAAAGAGAAAAACATCAATTGGTTGCCTCTCGTACATACCCCAACCGGGGACTAAAACTTACAACCTAGCCGGGACCGGTTTGGCTCAGTGGATAGAGCGTCAGCCTGTGGACTGAAAGGTCCCAGGTTTGATTCCAGGCAAGGGCGTGTACCTTGGTTGCAGGCACATCCCCGGTAGGGGGTGTGCAAGAGGCAGCTGATCGATGATTCTCTCTCATCGATGTTTCTAACTCTCTATCCCTCTCTCTTCCACTCCGTGAAAAGTCAATAAAATATATATATTTTTTAAATTAAAAAAAAAAACAACTTACAACCTAGGTATGTGACTTGACCAGAAATTGAACCCATGACCTTTCGGTGTACAGGATGACACTCCAACCAACTGAGCCATCCTGGCCAGGGCCAAAGGCGCTTTCTTAATAGCATTTCTATGTTTCTGATCTAAGGGGCATGAGGTAATCCTCTGTTTATAAACTGAATAAATATAACTGCTCAAAGAGTTTTTGAAAACTAATTTTTTTTTAACACGAGATCATTTCTCTCTAAATAATAAATGCTTCCAAGGGCCAGTAACTAGAGTGCTATGATTTTTACTCCAAATGACAATGTATGTCGGCTCATTTATTTCTATAAAAGGGAACAGGAGAGTCTACTTCCCAAGGAACAGCCTGTGAATTCTGGGGAAAGCGGGCCGGGTGCCTGTTGATTCTTGATTCATGATCTCTGCTTAAATTGTGAACATTTGGTATATTTTAGATGGCAGAACACCAGGGACAAGTCTCATAAACTGACCCTACACCCATTTTCTTATTGAAAGAAGGTAGTTTTACACCATCTGACTTGTTGCCAAATTAATAAATGGCAGCCCATCGCAAACAACTTCAGAAGCTGATTAACCTGAATGGGAGAAGTTTCGGTGATTCTCGAGTGATCACTTAGTGTTCTGTGAGTGTTCTAGCTTCGAAAGAAATGTGAGTTATATTTCGTGTGGAGGCTGAGTGAGTAGGATCAATTCTTTTCCTGTTTTCGCATTTTCCCACGACCATAAGGCACATCCAAAGAAATAGAAACTGAGCAGGTTAGATATTCACCCATCACATTTTAATCAATAAATATGAACATTAAACCTATTATTATTAAAAACCCACCACCTTGGCATGGAATCATCTAAAAAGTTTCAGTTATCCCTGCCATGCTTGTCCCTGCCATGGCTCCATGTTCCATGACTCCTCTCCTTGGGGGTGCTAGCCCTCCAGCTCCTGGGGGGCTAGCACCCCCAAGGAGAGGAGTCCCAGCTTCTGGACTCAGGGAACCACACTGCCTCCCAGCTTCCTCTTTCTTATTGAGATCCTCTTTGGTCATCTATGCACGTTAATTTCCTCTACTAAATTCCTTCTGTTGGAACACCTAGAAAGGTTTGTTTTCCTGACTGGATCCTGACTGATATGCAATAGAATCTTTAATTTATTTATAAATTATTTTCCCTTGAAAGTTGTCTGAAAATGTCTGCCTGAGAATAACAATAGTTTGTTTGTTGTTTTTTTTAAAAAAGATCACTCAAAGCACACTCTATCTCCTGCTTCTGCAGTAACAGGGAGACCACCCCCTTAGCTGTGTTTTGTCAAGCACCGGGACTCTCTCTTTGACAGGTACCAACATGATTCTAACTGGCCATCCAGGGCACCTCCAACCACAGTGGACACAGCCAAGAGTCATCAGCAGAGGTAATTGTTGTATGTGCTACATGGACAACCAGAGGAAAAGTACAAACAAACAAACAAAAACAAAACAAAACAAAAAACACAACCTCAGAATCGAAAGAGGAAACGACAAAGTCATTGCATAGATAACATTGTGAGAAATTTTCCTGAATTAAAAATCCTTTAGAATTTATGGAAATCTCAAGAACATTAAAAAAAAAAAAAAAAAAAAAAAGAAAAGAAAGAGATGATTCAGCAATAAAGGATTCATTGCTTTCCAGCTACATGGCACACGCGTGGGCAAGGCTACTTAGAGAAGTAGAGGTCCTTGGTGAGCATGGAGACCACACACGGGATCTGCTTCTTCTCGTGGAAATTTGGGTTGAAGGTTCGAGACTCGAAGTCTCTGGCCACCTTGTAGTTCACCCTGGTGAGGATCTTCAAGAGGTCCAGGCTTTTCCCGTACTCGTCCAGGGTGGCGCTGAGGGCCTGCACAAACCAGGAGCCGCATCCCGGGCTCCTCCAGGAGTAATAGCCTTCCACAGGACAGGAAACAGGAAGAAGAGCAGGTCAGCTGCCCTGGCCGACCCCGCTCACCCCTGACAGTGAGCTCTCCGTGTCGGGGGCCCTCCCACGTACCTTTCTGAAACAGGGTCACTCTACTCTGTGCGCGAGTCCCTCATGAGAATCGTGCCGGGGTGCTCAAAGGGCAGAGTCTAAAGATTTAGAGGGCCGCGTGGAGATGCTCAACACACGACTTGGTGGACCTGCAGGGATGCCTGTGAGATTCCTGAGTGAGTGTGTGAACGGAGCCTGCCTAAGGAGAGGCTGGAGAATTGCTCTGTAACTCGAACGCCTCACCATTCTTTGGGGTATGGGCTACTTTCCAATCCAAGGGGGACCCCAGAGGATTTTGAGATATGTTCCTGCTGCTGAGAGGGAACTAGAGGCTGGCTCCTGCTGAAGAAATCTCCAAGTGAGAGGCGGCCGAATGAGCAATTACTCCAGAGGCAGAGCTAGGAGAGCCAGCTGTCCTGGGGGCAGGAGTTGGCTGGGAGGAAAGGGGCCACAGGCCAAAGAATGCAGGAGGTTTTAATTGAGGGGGACAAAGCAAGGACATGGATTTTTAACCCCTACAGCCTCCGTCGGAAAGGGATTCAGCCCTGCCAAGCATTTTGGAATTCTGACCTTCAGAACTGTTAGGATCACCCATCTGTGTTTGTGGTAGTTTATCCCCAGGGCAATGGGAAACGCATACAGCCCCACGCCTGCACTCTGACGGTGGAATGGCCCGGCCCAGGGAGCAGATACGGGGCTTGGTACCTGACACCGTGGAATAGGCGAAGAGGAAGTCGGCCTCCACGGGGATCTTCTGGCGGGGGCTGGCATCTGTGTCACTGATGGGCCCTGAGTCGGGCTGGATCCCGTCATCGAGCTCTGTGCCCCGGCACGCCTAGGTGGCAAAGCAGAGACCACTCCATGGAGTTAAGAACAGACACACACGTGCTGCCTCCTGCCGTGTCCCAGTGCCTGGAGCTGTGCTCAGCATGTACGAGGAGCTCAGCAATCATCGGGTGAATGACTAAATGAATGCTGAACTGAGTTCGTCAGCAAAGCAAGTATCAGAGTGGCAGTGTCTGAAAGAAGCCCTCATGATCTGCGAGCTGAAGCAAACACAGAAGGCCAGCACTGAGAGGTAGAAAAACAAAACCCACATTTGCATCCCTCAATCAAAAAAGCACATAGATTTGCAGAGATGATACGGTCCAATCAGGCTGTAACCTGTTCCCCCTCTCCATGGCGCAGGCTTTGAAAAGGGATTACCTGGATGAAGAAGAGTTTGGGTTTCTCTAAAAGGGTTTTGCATCTATCCCCCCGAAAATGGCACGTCAAGTCCTTGATGTCCATCTTGTCGTCCGTTCCGTAAATCGAGTTTTCTTCTCCGTGGCTCAACAAGACACAGGCGAAGCAGGCTGCATTTCTGTGGTCCTCCTCAGAGGCTGCAAACAAGGGATTTGAACAGTGAGCAGGAAAAGCACAAGCCCTATGGGACCTCAGATGTGGTGCCTCCCCCTCCCAGCCCTACCAGCCTGCCAGAGAGCCATGCAGGGGGAGAAACACCCCGCTAGAGAGGAGGAGGACCAGTGGAGAAGTTAGGGAATTCTAGAATTCTCAGTCCGAAACCAGAATGGAGCTGTCTCGTGAGGAAGTGAGCCCCGCAGGTGGGAGGGTTTAGGCAGCTGCTTGGAGGCAGCATTTTGGGGTGCTGAAGGGAGGTGGCCCCGCTGTTAGGTTTGTGAAACAGGGCACATTTCTTCACCATTCTGTGTCTTGGTTTCCTTGCCTGTAAGATGGATAGACTAGTACCTATTACACGAGTCAGCATTTGCAAGCCAGTGTCGTTGCAAGTATTTGTTAAAGAAAATAAAGCATCGTGCTAAGTGAAACAAGCCAGTCACTAATGGACAAACACTTGATGCTTCCACTTACGAGGTCCCTAAGGAGTCACATTCTCAGAGACAGAAAGCAGAATGGTGGCTGTCAAAGGCTGGGGGAGAGGAGAATTTCATTGTGGGGTACATGGGATTATTCTTCTGTCGCTTCCACCAGGGAAAAGTTCACTCTTAAACTGTGTGGTGAGCGTAATGGTAGCCATTTGTTACATCCCTAGGAATTAGCCTTTTGAAGTTGAGACTTTCTGTAGAGACAGATCTTATTTCTCTTGCTGTCATATAAGCTGACTTCATCTTTTTATGGACAAAGCTAAGTTTCCTGAGAGAGACCCACCCACCCGGAGGCAGGTAGGGAGTGGTCCGGAGGCAGGAAAGGCCTCCCACACTGAAATCCCTGTGTCCTGCGAAGCTGGGCCCTGCTCCTCTCTCGGGCGCAGGAAAAGGACAGAGGGAGGAGGGGGTAGGCATGCACCTTCTTTCAGCACCTTGTGCATCTGGGCACAAGTGTAGTTGTTATACACCACCACGTCGAAACCCAGGTTTCGGAAGGTCTTGTAAAGGGACTCAGCATCTTTGTCTGTTCCGCTCCGGACGGACATCCCTGTGGGAGTCAAGCACCAGTTCACGGTGAACAATCCTCGGCTGAGCACTGTGTGCCGCCATCACCCGGCCAGGCGCCACTTGCAGCTGAGAGGTAACGCTCAGCTGCAGTCAAAGCCAACAGCCCCTTCTTGAGTCTCAGTTCATGCACCTACATGGTGGGCCCTTGGACTACAAGTTCCCGATTTCCCCACATCTCTTCCTGTAGAGAGCGGTTATAGGGTTAAGCCTCGGACTGATCTGCTGGCAAAGTCCCAAACAAGTCCCAGCTTGGAGGGCATAGCTCTCTAAGCATAATTAAGCTTGATCTTGTGACTGCTCCCTAGATCTTTCCTGGGCAGCTAATGGGTTGTGGGAGGGACAGCAAGTGCTACCAAAACAAATGAAACTTACAAGAACGTTATAAATTACTTTGTTTACCCCTGACTATAAATAAAGCATCAGCTTTGCTGTCTGGATCTGTTCTGTGGCCTCAGCCAGGCACAGAAGATCCACCTAGATCCAGATTATTCTCTTTGTCTGTCTTTTTCTTCATCCTTCACCGCCCTCCCTCAGGCTCGCCGAACCCTTGGCCTTGCTGGAGCGGCACGCTTCCTCCTAGACGTGCAAATACCATCTACAAAGGGGCCGTGTGCCCTCGTCGCTGGGCACAGCATTCTCTGCTGAATGAGTGCTACAAATCTGAACCCCAACTGGAGACACTGGAAGGGAACAGGACAGGCGAGCCCCTGCCCACAACCCCTACCTGTCGATTCGTGGAAGGTCTTGTTGTTTATTATGATGCATTTGCCCATCTTCTCAAAGTTCATGTTATACCGATATGTAGGCTCTTGGTTCTGGGTGGCCTTGGTGGAGTTCTTCTTCTTACTGTGGAAACAAAGCCAGACAGGGGCTGTGGGAGAAGCCTGGGCATGAATGGCCCTTGCTTTTACTATCAGCATGAAAGGGGCGGCCAAGGAAGCTGCAGAATCTGTGACGGAAAGACCTGGGGCAGACAGATGGCTCTGTTTAATGAATCATCACATTTAAAAGGAAGGTACATCTTAATTTCATTCGTTGCCGAGGGGGGGGGGGAGAGAATCACAATGCCATACCAGAACAGCTACCCCTGTGGGTGACCATGCACGGCACCTGAAATTGTCACACATGGTTGGGGAGAGCCCACATCGTGCAGCCAAGTGGCAGAAGTCTCTGAAAACGAACTTAAATATATCCCATGACAGAGCCGTTCCACTCCTCGGCATGTGCCCCAAGGTGGGCAAACGTTGTGTACCAAAAGACGGACCATGGCAGGCGTGGAAAGAACCCAAATGTCCAATCACAGCAGGAAGGATAAACTGCTCAATATTCGTAGGAGGCAACACTAGGTAACAAGGACAGTGAACAAAGCCATGACAACATGAAGCCACACGAACAAACCTCACAAGTACGATCCTGAGGGAAAGAACCAAGATTTAAAAGGTGCCCCTAGGGAGGACTCCGTCTTTCATTAAATACTGTATGAGAGGTTCTAGTCAGGACATTTAGGTTTAAAAAATGTGTTACATACATACATACATGAATAAATGGAGTCTTATTCCCCCATTTTTCAGAAATGAAACACTAAAGGCCACAGAGAGGCAGGCGTTGTCCAAGATCACCCAGCTAGTGATCAGCAAAGTGGGATCATCAGGCTTCCACGTCAGCATTCTAGAGCCCGATGCCCTGGAATTATTCATCCCCTGTTCTGCCCAAGCTCTTATCAAAAACTGGAAGAGGGAAAGTGAAAGAGAACACAAAGCTTATTACCCATCAACTGTAGGTCCAAGGGTCCTGGGCTTGAGTTGTGATTAAACCTTATCTGTTGGGGTTTCTCAGGATCTCAGAAAGGACCTGGTCTTTCCCCTTGCCCTCTCCAACCTCAGTCCAGATTATAGGTTAGCTCTCTATGTCGAACCTTCAGTTTCCTTATTGCTATTATTCAACTTCACCATGACAATATCCTCCACTTTTATAAGGCCTAATTTCTTCCAGATCATCTATATATATAAAAGGCTAATATGCAAAGTGTCCCCAGCCGGGAAACTGGGAGTTCGATTGCTCACTATGACATGTGCTGACCACCAGGAGGCCCTGGCTGGCAGCCAGAAAGCCCTGATTGGTCCTGATTGCCAGCCAGGCTTAGGGACCCTACCTGTGTATGGATTTCATGCATTAGGCCTCTAGTTTTACTTTTAAAAGATAAGTCTTCTGAATCTGTTCTCATTTCTCCCTCCCTTTGTTTGTTGACTGTTTACAGGGGATGCCAGGTTCTCTTCACACGTCTGCCCCCAGAGGCAGCTTCAAAAGAGCACTGGATCTGGAGTCAGAGAGAGGTCTGCATCCCTGCACCTGTGCAATCTGGGCCAATGCGTCTCTGCCCTTCACAGTGCATCAGTTTCCTCTCCCCAAAGATGGAGCCTTCTATAACTATCACAAGATTAGAAAGAGAGCTCAGCAGGAGCAGGGACTCCCATGCAGCCTTCTCCGCTCCCAGGCCTCCAAAAAAAAAAACCCTCAGGAGTTAAGTATCAGCGAATCGAGTTTCTGTACACTTCAAGGACATGCCATTGGGAAGGGATAGGGCAGGTCATTGTTGCCCAGTCAATTACCCCTACTGACAGCATCCGTGCACATTAAAATATGTGTCAATAGCCTGGCCAGTATGGGTCAGTGGTTGAGCACTGACCCATGAACCAGGAAGTCATGGTTCGATTTCCAGTCAGGGCACATGTCCAAGTTTCAGGCTTGATCTCCAGTTGGGAGCGGGAAGGAGTTAACCGATCAATGATTCTCACTCATCATAGATGTTTCTCTCTCCCTCTCCTTTCCTCTCTGAAATCAATAAAAACATATTTTAAAACACATCTATGCACAGCTCTTCATGGGCACCACACTCTCTGGTCTTCAATTGACATCTCTGAGGTAGGTGGAGGAGTACAATCACACACATTGTCTAGGTCCCTGTAACAACAATCAACGTCTGTCAGTGCTTTTACTGTGGGCAGGGACCTGGTTAACCTCTCAGCTGCCTTTTCTCCTTGACTCCTGACAGGTCTTCGGGTCACTTAAGGCCAAAGACCCTAATCACAGTCGCACTGAGTCTGGCAGGCTGGAGAGCACGCTTTATGCGCTCAAGCCCTTTCAGAGATAAACGTCTATTTTTATCTTTGGCAGCATGGATTATTTTAAAACCAACTGCACAATATCCAAGTCACAAAACAAGATGCGATTTCTTTTGAGCTGCCATTAGCCCATCCTCAATGAGCAAACAAAACCAGTGAGCATCTTTTAAAGAGAAACAGGCTTGAATATGTCACATTAAAAAAAAAAAAAATTCAGTTTCTATCAGAATAGAATTTGGAAAATCAAATGTATTTTGTTTTTTATTTTTAAAGGAACACAACAGGGAATAAAGATATATACACTTTAAAGAAAACACTTCCATGGTTATGAAAAGTGCCTTACAATTGAGCATGGAATGTGATTCCTGATAAATATTTCAAAAAGGAGATAAGGAAAGTTTCCCTCACTTGAACTTTCATTTTTTAAAATGAATTGAATATCTGCTTACTCTTTTTGGATTTGAGGGTGGCTGATTCTGCAGGAACACAGGACAATTTTTTGCGGAAGTATTTCTTTTGTGTGTGACATCTAATTACTTGAAAATGCTTCTGCATTGACAAGTTTTCTTCCTCCTCTCCCCTTGCCTCTCTCATTTCCAATTTTGAGTTTTAATAGCATCCCTCAACGAAAAGGCCTGGCTGGCAGGCCTGTGTGATTCAGCCAGCCCTCCACTCCCATAAATGACTAAGATGCAGTTCAGTCTCCACTTCCTGTTTCGACCGGGAAAGGGCAGGGTCCTTCCAACAAAACCACAGAGTTTGATGGGGGGAAAAGAATGAGGAAGCTCTCTGTTCTGATGTGAAATGATTTCCAGTAAGTAATGTGAAGTGTGAAATAAAACAAAAGGGCAGAACAAGATGCTACCTACCTTTTGGGGAGAAATGAGGAGGAAATAAATAAGATGTTATCAGCACTAACGTTACTATATATCATTTGGGGGGCCAAGAGCAGGATAGCAGGAAGGAATGGGAAAAAGAATTTTGACTGTCTGCCTGTCAGTATATGTGAATACCTTCATTATTCAATAATAAAATTATTATTAATAGCTAAAAACCATTTGCAGCAAATAGATCTGACCTATTTTGAAGATTACTGGATTTTTATGCTAATTGTGGAAAGGGCCCCATTTTTCTGTTTCCCTGCTGTGGTTTTACCCGTCTCCCTAGCCTTTCAAACGTCCAATACAACCAAAACTCGTCCCCGGCACAGCCTTGGTGGAGCTGTAGCTCACCATCAGCCCAGTCCGGGGAGGAAAGATGGGTGATGCCCATGCCAGCAGCTCATCAAGTTACCGTCTGTTTGGAAATCAACTGCCAGAGCCACGCAGATCACCCGATAAACAACGCCCGCGGGACAGGACATGGCTGTGAGGGCTCCAAAGAGATGGCGCTCATTAACCAGCCAAGGGCAGGAGACAGCAAAGGTCCACAGATCTGCGGGGCAGCTTCTCGCAGGGGTGGGGCTGGGGAGGGAACGCCAAGGATAGTAAGAAGCTTTCAAAGATCCAGATTAGACACTTCTTCGGCAGGCGATCATCCCCCCGAGATAAGATTTTCTAAAAGTGGCTGCTCTTGTCCCACTTTCTTAGAAGGCCTTTCCGGCAGAGGAAGGAGGCTGCAACATGTGAGAACACCGACCCCAACAGGTGGGCGTGCGGAGTTCCTTTTAAGACCGGATCTATGGAAACCGGCCATTCTCCCAAACCTGACACACATGGAGGAACTACTTCAGGCAGCTCCCCGAATCCCCAGGATCCAGTACCACTAACACTGGTGGGATGCTGTATGCATGACAAAGTGTGTTCGTGACCCTTCTCCCGTTCATGCTGCAAAATCCAGACCAGAGATAAAAGGAGACTCAGCAAACAGACGCTGGCCAGGGTATTCTTAGGTCACATTCTCTCTCTTCCCCTTCTCCTTCCTTCTCGCTCATTCTCTGCTGAGAAACCTACCCTTTACCCGGAACTTTTTTTTTTTTTTTAAACATTGTGAAGACTTCGGCCAAGATTATTGATTATGTTGAGAAGACATATACCCAGCCAGGGTCCTTGTTTTGGAACCTGCTGTTAAGTGTAAAGCTCATGATAACCCAGACCAGTGAATTAAAAGTTGTAAATCCTCTTAAAGGCTCCTGTGTTCCACAATTGGCTACAGGTTTTAGAGCAGATCTGGCCGGAATATCACTGCGTAGGGCCAGATAAGCAAGACTGTGACCACGAGGAGGGCCAGGGAGAATGACTTTGTAAATGCCCGTCAGTGTGCGCGAATGGGCAGTCGCTAAGGAAGCAGGCTGGTTCCCAGCCATCCTCACCGTCTCCTGGTGTTGTGTTTCCTCACCGGCCCGTGCCAGGACCGTTATCTCCGTGTCCCAGACGTGTTCAGAGAGGCTCAGATCTCTGCCGGGAACACAGATAATGCCGGGGTCCGCAACTAGGACCTGGAATTATCCGAACTTCTTAGGTACAGAGCCAGTTTGCAGAGCCTCCAATTTCACGGTGCGAGGCCAACTCATGTCATTTCAACCAAGTCAAGAGGCCAAAAATGACAACCCACGCCCAGTGGTAATCGAATATAAAAAGACCTCTGGGAGGAGTCTACGGCAGTGCCTACCAAAAAGCACCAGCAGGATTAAAACCGTCGGCTTACTTTGCAAAGTAAAGAAGTGGGGAAAAGAAATCTCAGAAAAGTGCCTGCTGAACTTTTGTAATCCGCTCCGGGCAAGAA